AGTATTAAGTGATTTTAGTGCTTGATAACGTTGTGTTGAGGACCGAATGGAAACTTTGTAATATTTTCATTTCCGTCTTCCTTCACTACTAAGATATCATGCTCTCTGTATCCTCCCGCGCCCGGTTGGCCTTCTGGGATGGTTAGCATTGGCTCCATTGAGATGACCATATTTGGTTGGATCACGGTGTCTACGTCTTCACGAAGCTCAATTCCAGCCTCCCGTCCATAATAATGACAGAGGATGCCAAATGAATGACCATAGCCAAAGGTCCGATATTTGAGGAGGTCTTTTTCTAAGTAAAGCTCGTTTAGTTCCCGCGCGATGTCACAGCATCGAACACCGGGCTGAATAAGTTCCAGGCCCCGACGGTGTATTTTGACATTCTCTTCCCATAATTCCATGTGACGGTCGCTTGGTATGTGGTCGAAAAACATGGATCGTTCTAGTGCAACGTAGTACCTGAAAGAAAACGCTGATGAATTTGGAAGGGAAACAATCGTTCCAGAGATTGATTTGAGAGAATTTGAGAGGACATAGATATCACGCTTCCGGCCAGGTATATTTTCCAGATATAAGAACAGAAAATTAATGCCAGACATTATTGAACAACGTGTGCACAAAAAAAATTACCGAAATCTTGACGCGCACTTCCAGTCATATTTTGACAAGTAACTTCTGGCCTATAAGAGCAAGCGTATTATATGCATTCAAACTGTTACGCTTACCCTGCTAACATGGCAARCGTATTCAAGCTGAGAACGTCTCCTTTCTGCACTCTTCGGGAAGTCACGGGGTTGTGACCTCCATCAGTATTTATACCAGACTGAAACCAAGTCCAAGCTAACAACAAAGCAGAGCATAATGCATCAGTCAATTAAGAAACCACKGCTACCCGACCCCCCGACCTCCGGGCAATACCGGGGGAATAAACATTTCAACAATGTTAAATTTCCTGGCCTTTAGATGCCAAAAAATGCAGCTAAGTAGTTCATTTCGTTGATTGTAGAGASGTTAAATTTCACTAGCCTGCGTGCACCCGGTTTGGGTAAACGCTGGATGAATTCAGGCTAAAATTCACTCGCCTTCCCGTTAAATTGTGCTGTTAAAACAGTGTTAAAACCCGGGCTATTATATGTCAATTACCCGGCCCTTCCCGGGTCTCAAGGTCTTGTATATGACAATTAGATTTCTAAACATTTCTAGCATGCAAAAAAAAATGCTGTCATTTTCTAACCGATGTTGTTAATGTATATTCGTGCATGGACTTTGCATGGACGCTGTTAATTTTAAATAACAAGAGGTGCCTGCCACTGTACTTACTGTCCATAAATTCTCCGTGAGGAAGTCGTTTTGCTATGTCTCTAACCATGGCTCGTGTTGCAGCTAAAGCCACCTCGTACTCAGGTACACCTTCTCCTATTGCCTTAACTCCATTTTCAGCACCTAAGTCACACACAGCCGCGCCCTGTTTGATGTGCTCGATTTCTTCATCAGACTTTATCATCCTCATTCTCATGGTGGAATCACCAACGTCGACGAACGAGGCTTTAGGCAAAGCCTGCTTGAACTTTTCCATGTTTACTAAATGTACATGGTCATATTCTAGGCCGACATTTTTGTAGTTTCCCGCCAGTTGGTTAATGACATAGAAATAGTTGTCCTTATGCCAGTCGGTGTAGGCGACATTGTCCCCGAAGGTTCTTCGGCCTGGCTGACCATAATCGATATCTGAAGTGTAAAAAATTAAAAGCAGACATGAGAATAATAATAATATAATAATAATAAACTTTATTACTGCTCCCGAAGGGCTCTTCCGCAATAATTTACAAATGTATTAAATATATKAATGTGTAAACGTTTATCAYATAATTATCTATGAAATACCTATATRTTTATCATATGACCCGTATTTCGGCCCTACGCGCGCTCTTAAAAAAMCTKTGGAAGTGGTCACGTATCTTCCCGGCTTGAATTTTTCATAAAAGAAATGGCTTAAAAAACGCTTTCATATGATAAAATGCTTATTGACTGAGTAAGGTCGGGCCGCGAGGTCCGTACAAATGACCTCGAGCCAAATATTTTCCCGTACGGCCCTCCCACTCAGTCAATAAGTACATATTCTCCATTTCGTAAAGATGATATTTTCACTAGCAAAAATAACACATTTGAGGTTTCACTATAGTGGAGGTAAGAAAAAAGCTATAGTTTATGACATAATTTGCTGTCATATATTCGCTACGCTCACTCGTGAGAGATATTTCCAACACTCGAAGATAAAATCCGTATCTCCGCGCGCCCATGTAATATCCTTTATTATGTACAATGATATGATATATAATAAATGATGCATATACCATMAAACACTTTCATTAAGCTTAAAAACTAACTGCGAGCTCAAATCACGAGGCTCGTTGCCAAGTCCTCTCTTTCATTTTTTTAAAAATGACGRCAAGACTCCGAGAGAGCTAGACCTCTAAAGGTAGCGAAATCATAAGTACGTACTTGCAGAAACATTAGTAGACTTGTCAGCGGTCACCACCAATGCGTAAGGCCTCCCGAAGTAACAATACAAGAAATCACTGAAATAATTGATGTTGTGGTGAGACGTCAGTACGCATGCGTCGATGCCGCGGTTCTCCATGTCGGTTCGCAGCATAGTGAGCCTGCGTTCCATCTCTGCTGCAGAGAATGTAGGTTTGACCTGAAAAATTGTATGCTTATCAGCACAGGGAGCCCAACTTCAGAAAATATTCAATATTTGATGATGTGCCCCGACCAATCAGAAACGTAGAAGCTTTTAATATCTACATTTTATTTGGGTGCATTAAAAGTACGTATAGTGAACTCTCGTCTGCAGACACTGATTAAKTGTCTTTTATGACTTTTTTCATACCGTGAAAATCCAACACTTGGTTGGTAGGAAAGGATTTTATTGCCCGTTCCGAAATTCAAAAAGGGACTGGTGACTAGTCGCAAACTCGATACCGTTTGAAGCAATCAAAAAACAGACACCAGGACAAGCAAGAGCATACTAAAATTAGTATAGTTGCTGGGTTTTAGCGTATTTGGATTAATAATTACAGAGTTACAAGCGTTTAAAACTCGAAAAAATTACAAAGAATGTTTGGAGCTCTTGAGCAGCGTCCCCAAAAACCATACATTCTCTCTTATTTTTACAAATTTGAAAAAAATAGTCTCAAACTTGACAAGAACRCTAATTGTAGTGTGGTCTTTCATKTGCTGAGGTTCAATTTTCGATATAAGTGGACTATTTTCATACTCGTTCCTAGTCTGCTTTTGACTGTTTCGGAACGGCCAATTGTAAAACTATAATTAAGACCAGTAATGTTAGATCCAGCCTCTTGTATCTTAGTGCTGAATTCCTTTCTCGAGATCAACATACCGATAATTACAGTCAGTTACCTTTTCACCGTTCTTTATCTTGAGCATGCGTGGTAGGTGTGCATCTTGCTGTTCTGAAGACATCGATCGACGAGTAAATCTCGCCAGCATTCCCCTTAAGCCACTAGGACAGCGTGGTCGAAACATAATGGATCTGTACAGAACAGATGCAATATAATAACCAAGTACAATTAATGAGTGATAGATATTTTGTAGTCTGTATTAGTGTATTATTCTGTAAACTGTCTAAATAAGAAAAAAAATTCTACAGGATAGCGCATCAATTCTTGGGTGCCTTCCCGTTGGGTTTCATGTGACGTCACAAAAATATTAATTCTCTAATATGCATCCTATGATGATACAAACTGTATATGTTATAAATATGGGTATTATAAAGATATTAGTCGAACAAAAATGAGTGTAATCAATTGCTTGGTTCTCGAGATATTAAAGATTGAATTGTGTCACGCAACGCCGTCACGGACCTATGAAAAACCGTTACAATTCGATGTGCATAAAACATTTTGCCTCATATAGGCACATTTTATTGAATTCAAAAATATTATGACGAAATATGTCAAAAAATTCAAATTTCTGTCGTTTTGTAAGCCATTGAATCCAGATGGAGGTCAGATGTTGATCACAACCTGGCCCTCAACCTGGATTTCTCCATACATTTTTATCAAATTTTGCGAATCTTCGATTGGTAATAATTCTGCAAGCAAACGCTACAATCCTAATTTTTTRTCAAACTGTGTAGTTTTTATGCTCTAAAAGGGCATCAATGTCATTTTTTAATTCGAGTAAAATAATATGATGACGTAACTGAAACCCAAGTGTATTATTGTAAACTGCATAAATAAGAAAAAAATTCTATAGGGTAGCGCATCAATAATTATTGTTTTCCTCATTAACTGTAARTATAAGACTGAATTAATAAAATAATGAAAAACAAAGAAACGAAATAAAGAGAGTGATAGATATCCATAATTCAATGCGACAACGTACGACAATGTTTGAACTATAGCGACATATGATTAAAATCTGGGTGAAGCTGTAGATCGATTGTCTTTCACAATTGATGGTTTTCAACCATTCCCATGAGAGTGAGCAAAACAAAAAGGTCCACCAGTCACGGTGGTGGTTTTCTTTTGTCAGGTCCACCAGCAATGGCGGACATCTTTTGTTTAACTTTCTCTCCAAAATAATAATGACATGATAACAGCATGATACCGTATTTATGTTCCGCTAAAATCGTACCGACATTAAACGAGGACTATAGTCTCCTCGCAACAGCGTTTTTTCGGTATGGAGAAGTTATGTATGGTGTGACGGTCACACCCGCGACGGTAAGTAAACACGGCTGCGTGGAGACTGATCGAGGCCGTAACACGAATGTTATCACGGCGCGATTTTATAGTGGTACAGAGGTAAACTAAAAGGAAAAGCGCATGAATCCAGTGTGACTCTGAATTTCGTGCTAACACATTGTCTGACGAGCACGAAAGCACGAAACCCAGAGACATAAGTGCTTCATTGCCCACCTATTTATGCTTTGCTCTGCACTATAAAATGTGCATTGAGCACTGTTCAACCGCGTCAGCTACAAATTCACTCAATCACATTATAGATATAGAATATTATATTAAGTTCCTACATGCAAATTGAGTTGATCAATTTGTATTA